GGAATTGAACTTAGGACCTTCTATTTGCCAGGCAGGCACTTATGCCACTGAACAATCTCTCCATCCTAATGGAGACTTTTGACCTTTCTATATCAGCATATTAAGGTCCTTCTCCAGATTTGGAAAGGCTTCTGCTACAATTTCTTTAAATTCTATACTTTCAGAAGGATTTTTTGGGGGGCTGGGGGCTGTCTCAGGCTGCCTTAAGGGTGGGTCTGGTAAAGCAGGTGGAGCTGGGGATTAAACCAAGGTATCCTGCACCTCATTGTGTTTATATAAGCAAGGACTTAAACAACTGAGTTAACCAACAGGCCCTTAAATTCTATACTTTAACTTTCTCTCTTTATTCTTCAAATTGTAAGGCTCGAAAATTTGTTACTTCAGTGTAGCTCCACAAATGCCATAAGCTTGCTTTATTCTTTCACTTTTTTTCTCTCATTGTCTAAATGCCAATAACTTTCTTTCAACGCCACAGATTTGCTTTTGGTCAAATCTGCTGTTGATGCTCTTTGGTGGTTTTCATTTCACTTAAGGTATTATTTTACTTTCTCTGTTAAATATCCTATTCTGATAATTTATTGCTTGTGTCATTTCTCTGAATTGATTGTCTGTAGTTTGTTGAAATTTTTTGGTTTTCCTTGCAATAGTTATATTGAATTCTTTGTCGTCACACCATCCATATGTCTTCACTGTCCTAGGCAAGTCATAGGCACTTCACTTTTTACATGATGTTCTATTTCCCCAGTTGTGCTTGATCTCTGTGATAGTGCATTGGTGTATGCAAATGTGAGAACTAAATACTACCAGTCTTTACAGACTGCCTTTTTCTGAAGAACTCCTTCAGAAGCCAGCCCACCCAGAGACTCTTGGTAGGCTGCCTGGTACAGAGTATAAACTCTGGCTTGTACAGTCCATGGACTGGTGGACTTTATTCATTTTTAGCAGGTGGATCTGTTTGAGGTCTGGACTCATTTGGGAGTACTCCTGTTGACTGAGACTGTGGAAATGATATAAAAACTGATCCTCTGCAATCATTCTGAAGTAAATATCCACTCAATCAGTGGTCAGTTAGAGCAGGCCTGAAGCCTGGAGCTGCTGGGACAGTGCACTTCTGGGGTTGGCGGACACTGGCATGGGCCTGAAGTAGTACAGTCTGGAGATGAAGCCTGACACGCATGCCATGAACAGGAAGGTACACAGTTTGCTGATGCTGGGCAATGGAGGAGGCCTAGTTGTATAAACAAGTCCAAAATGTGGGTCAGTGTAGAGACATATCACTTAAATGCCAAGCCAATTACAAATGCAAACACATACAAATTATCGTAGTTGCTTCAGCAAAAGTCTAAAGGACATGGAGACATAAAGTAATGTTTTTCAAGAACAGAAAATAACAACTATACCCAGAAAACTTATCCCTCATAATTAAAGGAAAATTAATGACCTTCCAAAACAAGGAAAAAAATCAAAACAATTAATTAAAGCAACACTTCAAAAGATACTTTGAGCATCACTACAAAGAGAAGAAATTTAGACTAAGAAATGAGTATTAGAAATGAAAGAAAATTCACAAAACAAGATGATAGGAATTAGTACATACTCTTAAAAGTTATCTCTGAATATAAATTGTCTTATTTCGATAATTAAAATGTACACATTGGAAGACTGAATAAATATAAAGACTCAACTGTATGTTGCATGCAAGGAGCACATAACAGTTCCATAGGCATACATACTCTGAAAGGAAAAGGTGGAGGACAACATCCCATGCAAATGGAATCTAGAAGCAAGTGGGACTAGCATTGTTATACTGAACAACACTGACACAGAGGAAGGACACAAACTACAGAAACACATTGAGATACAATAATATACTTTAGAGTAACCAGTGGGTTATTGAGAGAATCCTTGGAGAATGGAATCAGATATATCAGAATCTGGGATGCAGAAAAGGTCATTCTAAGAGCAAAGTTTATAATTAGGCCAGCCTACATCTAAAAGTATAATGAAATGTTGCATCTCAGTCTTATTAAAACAAGAATACACCAAATCCAAACAGTGATAGAAGGAAAAAACAAGATTGGAAAGAAAATTAATAGAGAATAATAGAACAATAAAAAAAATCAACAAGAGAAACAGTAGGTTTTTTTTTTTTAAAGATAGAAGATATTGCTAAGGTTTCATCCATACTAAGAGAAGGGGAAGATTTTAGGAATGATAAACAAATTCAGCAAAGTAATAGGATAAAAAAGTCAACACAAAAAACCTATAGCTTTTCTGTGTACCAATACAAAGAAATAAAGAAAACTTCATTAAGTGAGCTGAACAATGCAGTTAGAATAAACCTTTTTAGGTAATAAAAGTTCTTTATAATGATAATTACAAAATATTAAATAAGCTAAAAACAATACTAAGAGATGGAAACATCCCAAGCTCATGCAAGGGCAGAATTAATGTTGTTAAAAGTGACTATACTACTGAAAACTATACACACATTCAATAAAGTGTTTGTCAAACACTTCATAAAAGGAAAAAATTGTAGCAATAACCCTTACTAAATATGATATTAATAGGCTATTATTCTCCCAGGAACTAATAATTAACAGACATCTACTTATACTAAGGAATACAAATGCAAACAATAAATATCACTAGGAGCTCTCACACTACAGAGGTGGTGGGTGGATGAAGAAGGTGGGGTTTAGCAACAGGGCTGTCTTCTGAAACACTGGTTAGGCTACAGAGGAATGCAACAAAGCCTCAGAGAGCAAATCCCTTCATCGACAAGAAGAAATTCTAAGACTGTTGGGTTTGGTTTTGTCTTTCTCAGCTATGGAAATTATAATGAGTAGGAGAATTTTCTTTAGAGTAACCAGTGGGTTATTGAGAGTATCCTTGGAGAATGGAATCAGATATATCAGATTCCATTTACAAGCATCAATGACCACTTATTTTACTTTGTGTCCCTTAGTCTCCTTCACAGACACCCAAAACAGCAGACATTCAAAACCATACTGATGACTTGTGAGCACAAAGGAGATTTGAAATTTTCCCATAGATCTGTTCTCTATCTCCCCAACATTTTGAGGAAAAGAACAGAGTGAAGAGAGGGATGCAGTAATGATTACCTCCAAAACTACTACTCAGGAAAAACCTAGCAGAGTTTGATCTAAAAGTTCTATCCTGTTTATGTTTAACTTAAGGCTCATTCTGTGATGGAGTTGACTGTTACCTAATGCAGATATTTACGGATAA